GACACTCTCTTCCCGGCCTGGCGGAGCTGAGCCAGGGCCATGCTGGTCCGCATCAGCCTCCCGCCTACGGCCAACACCCTGCGGCTCCTGGTCATAATGCTGGTCACTCGCTCCCGGGTATCGGGCAAGCCATGCAACATCCCTCGCCCCAGTCCATCAACCGGGAACGCGAGCGAGACTCTAGAGAACGCGAGCTGATTGAGAGACAGCGCCAGGAGGAGATGGCCCACAGAGAGCGCGAGCAGCGCGAACGCGAACAGATTGAGAGACAGCAGCTGGAGCGACAACGTGAACAGCAGCACCACCCGGTCCAGAGCCACACAGGGTCCATCCCTATCCATCAGCCGGTGGCCTCGAAAGTGCCAAATTCCATTCACGGCCCCAATGGTCTGCTGTCAAATCTTGGGTCTAACCCGTCAAATGGCCCGCAAGGTTCTATGCCTACGCCGGGAGGGCCTGGTGGCATCTACGGCCCACAGATGCAGCATGGTGAGGGTACACCCAGGTCATACATGCAACATCCAGGTGGACCGCCCGGCCAACCCATGATGGGATTTAATGGCTCTGGCCCTCAGATTCCGGGCAATGTGGCGGCACTTGCCCAGGGCCAGCAGCCAATCCTGAACGTGAGTTACAGCACGCCGCGTGGATCAGTGCTCCACATCACGAAGCCGTGGCTTACGATTCCGTCACAGGATGCACTTAGTTATCTAGATCAGGTGAAGGTTCGCTTTGTCGACCAACCTGATGTGTACAACCGATTCTTAGATATCATGAAAGACTTCAAGAGCCAAGCGTGAGCGTTATACCGCCGCGGGAATCGTGCCTGACTAACTTGACAGCAGGATCGATACACCCGGAGTCATCCAACGGGTTTCCACTCTTTTCAATGGACACCCCGCTCTCATCCAAGGGTTCAACACGTTCTTGCCTCCTGGATATCGGATCGAGTGTGGCACAGAGGACAACCCAGACGCGATTCGAGTGACCACGCCCTCAGGTACCAATACCTTGAGTATGCCCCGTGCTAGACACTCTCTGGATTCTTCTGGCGAGCTTGGTCCATCTGGTGGCATGGGTCCTCACGGACGCGCTGAATACTATGACCAGTCTCGACCTGGGTGGCAACAGCCCCAGCCTCAGCAGCAGCAAGGCAATCTTCCAGGATCATACTCTCCTGGATCCCGCATGATGGGGCCTGGCATGTTTGGACAGCAAGGTGGCCAGGGTCAAGCTCAAGAGCATCACTTTGAATACCCAACCCAGCAAGAGCAACAAGCAGCAGCTGGAGCCGCCGCTATGGCTCACCAGCAGGATCAGCGAGGAGTTTCCCAGCTTCAAGGTGCTGCCTCTGCTGCTTCTGCGGGTCTCACGCGTCCATCCTTGTTGCAGGTGTCAGCAGCGTCTCAACAGGGTCCTAGTCTGACCCAGCCTATGAACAATTTGGCGGGCGTCGGCACCGGCATGCTGCAAGGCTCACAGGATTTGACCAAGCGTGGACCGGTGGAGTTCAACCATGCCATTAGTTATGTCAACAAGATAAAGGTGAGTACTAAACAAGCTATCCGTTATCTAGTTGCTAGGTCAGCTGACATTAAACTTCTTAATAGAACCGCTTTGCAAGTGCCCCTGAGATCTACAAGCAGTTCCTTGAAATACTACAGACCTATCAGCGCGAATCCAAGCCAATCGGGGATGTGTATGCCCAAGTTACTCAGCTCTTCAACACGGCTCCCGATTTGTTGGAAGACTTCAAGCAATTTCTTCCTGAATCTGCAGCGCATGCAAAGCAGCAGGCCGCAGCTCGTCAGGCCGAGGAAGCAGCTCCCATGAGCAATGTTCGCGGCGAGCCGAGCTATCCCAACGCCAATGCTCTTCCTTCTCAGACACCGAACCGCGACGTCAAGATGCCCCCATTGGGCCAGTTCAATGTCAAGGACTCTGCGAAGGATGGCAAGAAACGTCGGAACGGGCCAGGCGCCCCATCTTCCATGGGTTCCTCAATGTCTGGCCCTTCGGCTGCGGATGCGGCGCGCATGGGAGATATGCAGGCTAGGAATCCAGCTCTTCAAGCTGGTAATGCCAACAAGAGGGCTAAAGTTCATCATACCAAGCCTTCCCAGGCAGAAGTTCCTGCTGTTTCTCCCACCCTCGTACCCGCTCTGCCAGAACCGATCCAGCCGACCTTCTCCCTGACCCCTACTCAGGAAGAATTTGCTTTCTTTGACCGTGTCAAGAAGTACATCGGCAATAAGCAGACATTCAGCGAGTTCCTGAAGCTCTGCAATCTGTATTCCACCGACCTCATTGATAGGCATGTGCTTGTGAAAAGGGCGGCTAGTTACATTGGCTCCAACCCGGAGCTGATGGCTTGGTTCAAGCGCTTCATGCATGTTGACGAGCCAGAAGACAAGATCATTGATGTCAAAGCGAAACAAGACTCTGGACTTGTTAATCTGTCTCATTGCCGGTCCCTCGGGCCCAGCTATCGTCTTTTACCGAAGCGTGAGCGCCAGAAGCCTTGCAGTGGCCGTGATCAGCTGTGCTACAGTGTGCTTAATGATGAATGGGCTTCTCACCCCACGTGGGCGTCGGAAGACTCTGGATTCGTTGCCCACCGTAAGAACCAGTTTGAAGATGCTCTGCATCGCATTGAAGAGGACAGGCATGACTATGACCACCATATTGAGGCGTGCACGCGGACGATTCAGCTTATCGAGCCGATTGTTCAGCAATTCCTCGTTATGTCGGAAGCCGAGTGCGCCGCGTTCAAGCTTCCGCCTGGCCTTGGCGGACAGAGCGAGGCCATCTACCAGCGGGTGATCAAAAAGATCTACGACAGACAACGTGGGGAGAAGATCATCAAGGAGATGTTCGAGCGACCAACCCATGTTCTGCCCATCGTTCTTTTCCGTCTTAAGCAGAAATGTGAAGAGTGGAAAGCGAGTCAGGTAAGACATAAGGCAAATTATTTGTTACTTGGTGGATACTGACCTTGGCAATAGCGTGAATGGGATAAAATATGGCGCGAGCAGATGCAGAAGGCATACTGGCGTAGTTTGGATCACCAGGCGATTGCCAGCAAACAAGTTGACAAGAAGCTGTTCGTGGCGAAGCATATCCATACTGAAATCCAGAACAAGTTTGAGGAGAGCCGGAATCTGCGCAAGAGTGGGTATCAGACCGTCAAGCATCAGTTCGAGTTCACCTTTGATGATCCGGCTGTCATCATTGATGCCACGCATCTGCTACTTACTTTCATCGACCGTAACTCTGCTGGGTTTGGTGCCGACCCACAGAAGGTGATGACCTTCATCAAGGACTTTGTTCCCGTATTCTTCGGCATGGACCGTGACACTTTCCACGTGTACATGAATGAACTCTCGAGTGGCGCCTCCCCGATAGATGAAGGTGACGACGAGAGTCTGGCTGCCGAGGAGTCTTCAACGCCGCGCAGTCGGAAGGGCATCAATGGCAAGAAGATCGACCTTCTCCGCGATGTTCTTGAGCGTCGTAGCGAGAAGGTACGCCGTGGTGACAAGGAAGGCAGTACGCCAGCCAGCCGCGATGGCACGCCAGATGCTGTTCTGGTCCCGTCGACTCCGATTCCCGATCCGACAGAGCCGTTTGATGTGGCTGAGCTGAAGTGGATGGAGCACCCCGGGCAGGGTAACTTCAACCAACAGCGGGAGTACAACCTGAACGAGACGTATGAGAAGAAGGCCCACCACTTGTACGCCAACCTCAATATCTACTGCTTCTTCCGCACATTCGAGGTCCTTTACTCGCGGCTGCTGCGCATCAAGCTGCATGAAAAGGATGCTCATGATGATGTCCGTCGTGCGCTAGTGAGCAAACCGGCGCAGGAGCTCAACCTTATTGACAAGTACCCTACGGAGTTCTTCTACGACTGTGACCCCAAGGCGAACCTGTACCAGCAGATCGTGCGTATGTGCGAAGAGGTCATCAAAGGGGATATGGAGCCTTCTCACCTGGAGGAGACGCTTCGTCGCTATTACCTGCGGAGCGGATATCAATTGTACAACCTGGAGAAGATGTTTGCTGGGATATCCAAGTTTGCCGGGGCGATCTTCAACGGGGACTCGAAAGACCGCAGCTCGGATATTATGAACCTCTTCTTTAAGGAGCGGGACAAGGAGGAGACCACGCACAACCAGGAGATTCAGTACCGCAAGCAAGTGGAACGGTTAGTCAAGGACGGTGACATCTATCGCATTACCTACGTAAGTGCTTCTATCTTGGGCTATTTAGACTGCTATCTAACACGAGTTGCCTTAGAACCCTACCACCAAAAAGACGACGCTGCAGCTGTTGACGCCCGAGGATGCGACGTTGGAGAATGAGGAGCTGAGCCAAGAGGCGCGCTGGTCCTACTACGTCTCTGCGTACACGATGCGGGATCCGACCGAGGGGGTGCCGTTCTCTCAGATGCGCATGCCTTTCCTGAAGCGCAACCTGCCGGCCAAGCTGGAACAGGAGGAAGAGTACAACCGCTACTACCGCCCGCTGGTGCACCAGGACGGATTGATCATCCGCATCTGTGCCAACAGTTATCACATTCTGTACGAGCCCGGCAGCTACGACTGGTGGTGGCGGCCGACGGCGCCGGCGGAGGAAGCGGCGGAGGAGGTAGCCAAGGAGGAGGCGGCGGTGAAGGAGCGACGCCGGGACCGGTTTACGGAGAAGTTTGTCAATAACCCGCACTGGGCGCATGGCCTCAGCAAGGATCAAGTGGATGAATCGAACCAGCGATTCCGGTCCTGGATCAAGGGCTCTGACGGAGAGGCTGCAGCAGCTGTCCCGGCGGAAGGCACCGAAACCGAGTCGAAGAATGACAAGGAAGATACGGAGATGGCTGATGTGGAGCAGTCTGCGGTGGAGTCGAAAGAGCAATGAACAGTGCTTTCGCATAGAACAGCGCATGCCTGCAGCGTGCGGCCAAGTCAGCTTCTGCGGGGGATAGCTTGGGCCGGCGCGCCTCCACACTGCAGCATGTGTATGACGAATACAGGGGACCTCCTCTCTACATAAACGGTACATAGTGTCTCTACGGTTGCACGAATGGGAATATTTCTGCTTGTTGGAAAAACGAATCCGCCTGTTGGGATAGCGAGGAGAAGCGACCGGTCTGGGGGTGGACTGGAGCGCGCCTTGCGACCGGCAGGGGGAGAATTGTCTGGCGTGGGGTCGGGGGGGATTGTGATTCTGGGACGGGGTCAACTTTTGGGATGTTTTCTTTTTCTTTATTCCTTATTCCTCCTATTTTTTTTTTTCTTTTTTTCTTTTTTTGCTGCGATTTCAAATTCTTCTTCACTGTGTATGTGTAACTAGGACTATGGGAGTTGTTGATCAACCGATATTGAATGAATCGAATTGGATTGAAGCGGAATGAAATGAGTCTAGACTAGTTGGTTTAGCAGTAGTAGTTAGTAATAGGCGGAAGCTTGCTGGAAGCAGACGAGCAGAGAGACAGCAGAAACAGCAGCAACAGAGTAGCACAGATCAAGATCAGCTTAGCTTCCGTGTGGCCGAACAGCAGATAACCGATACGGGCCGAGACTAGTCCGTCGGCGGTTTTCTGGACGAATCTCGGTGCTGTCTGCTTTTTCTTCAATTGAAGCACATTCATCGCATTGGAATTGAGAGAGGAGTATATAATGGATATTAAATTATTCGCCCATGTCAATAGACTCATAATTTCCCCGGGGAGAATAAAAAAACAGTTGAGTTCAAGGTGACGTGAGGGAGGCAACGCTGGACGAGGCAGAACTAAGTATGTTTGGCCGAGAGTTTGCCGGCGTGACGTCAGCATGAATGGAAAGTAGAACCCTTGAAGATGCAGACACCAAGAGGGAAAAATCAGTAGGAAACCCACCTTTCACTGAGACAAGACACTGTCAGACCCATTCATTGCACTGTAGAAGAGTCTGCGACTCAGTTCCAGCACCATTGACCCTCCCTGCCCCAGAGAGAGGTGGTCCAGCAGCTGGCAAGACCTTAAATACATCCAGCTGGATGCAGGCTGTCTAGACTGCTCCGACCTTGAGCATCGGAGTAATATACACCCTCCTGCATGCCCTTCCTGCAGCACTGGTCGATCGACAGCCACTCAGCAGCCGGCTATCCCCAGCGATCCCCCATAGTCCATGCCGGGATCCATATAGTAGTCGCTCCTTATCCCCGAAGACGCGCTGCTCCTCGCCTTCGTCTAGACCGGGGTAGTGGAACGTGGCGGGGGTTCCGTACCGTATTTCTACCTCTCCGTCACCCTCGTCTGCTTTCGTCTACTTTCTTTCCCCAGTTCTTTTTCTCTCTCTCTCTCTTAATCTTCCTTTCATTCCTCTTTCTCTCCTCTCTCCACTCCTCATCTCTTCGCCTCTCCCTCTCTCCCTCTCTATCTCTCCTGGACAATTAGTCCTTCTCTCCTCATCTCCCTCCCTCCCTCCCTCACAATGTCTGCTTCTGCCCTCTTAAGAAGCCGTGTTCGCCGGCCTTCCTATCTCAACCGGTTGGCCAAGGCTGAAGATCTCATCGACCTCTTCCCCAATGGATCGTATATCGGCTGGTCCGGATTCACGGGAGTTGGTTATCCCAAGTAGGTTGCGCCCGATGTCCCCGCGTGGCAGCCACAGAGGCTAATCCAGATTGTTCCCGGTTTTCAGGAAAGTTCCCACGGCGCTGGCCGACCACGTTGAGAAGAACAAGTTGGAGGGAAAGCTAAAGTACACCCTGTTCGTCGGCGCCTCTTCCGGCGCGGAAACAGAAAACCGCTGGGCTTCATTGAACATGATCGACCGTCGGAGTCCTCACCAGGTCGGTAAGGAGATTGCCAAGGGTATCAACAATGGTCAGATCAACTTTTTCGACAAGCATCTGAGCATGTTTCCGTCGGATTTGGTTTATGTAAGTTTTCATCGGATGCTTCTGGGATGCTTCGGTGGATAGCGACTAATGGTGTTGGTAGGGTTGGTACACAATGAACAAGCCCAAGAACCGCTTGGATGTCGCGGTTATTGAGGCATCCGCCATCACGGAGGACGGTGGCATCATCCCCGGTGCTTCCGTTGGTGCCTCTCCGGAGCTGATCCAGATGGCCGATAAGATCATCATTGAAGTCAACACGGCTAGCCCGTCGTTTGAGGGTCTGCATGATATTGTCATGTCGGACAAGCCGCCCATGCGCAAGCCCTACCTGATCATGCAGCCTGAGGACCGTATCGGTACTCCTCACATCCCGGTCGACCCTGAGAAGGTCGTGGCCATTGTGGAGTCTGACTACCCCGATCAGACTCAGCCCAACGCCCCCGAGGATGAGGGTTCCCAGGCCATTGCCACCAACCTGATTGAGTTCCTGAAGCACGAGGTCAAGCACGGCCGTCTGCCTGAGAACCTGCTGCCCATCCAGTCCGGCATTGGAAACATTGCCAACGCGGTCATTGGCGGTCTGAGCAAGGGTGGTGCCGACTTCACCAACCTCAAGGTGTGGACGGAGGTGCTCCAGGATTCCTTCCTGGACCTGTTTGACAGTGGCAACCTGGACTTTGCCACGGCCACCTCCATCCGCTTCTCCCCGGAGGGCTTCAAGCGCTTCTACGACAACTGGGAGCGCTACGCCGGTAAGCTGCTCCTGCGCCCGCAGCAGGTGTCCAACTCGCCCGAGATCATCCGTCGCCTGGGCTGCATCGGTATGAACACTCCGGTCGAGGTTGATATCTATGCCCACGCCAACAGCACCTGTGTCATGGGCTCTCGCATGCTTAACGGACTGGGTGGATCGGCCGACTTCCTGCGCAGCTCCAAGTACAGTATCATGCACACTCCTAGTACCCGGCCCAGCAAGGTCGACCCCACCGGTGTCAGCTGCATTGTTCCCATGTGTACCCACGTTGACCAGACCGAGCACGATCTGGACGTGGTTGTGACTGAGCAGGTAGGATTCTCCCCCCAGCAAATTTAATTCTTTGCTAACAAGCATAGGGTCTGGCCGACGTGCGTGGTCTTGCTCCTCGGGAGCGTGCCCGGGTGATCATCGACAAGTGCTCTCACCCCGACTACAAGCCCATCCTGCAGGACTACATGGACCGGGCTGAGTTTGAGTGTCTGAAGAAGGGTATGGGCCATGAGCCTCACCTGCTGTTCCAGGCGTTCAAGATGCACCAGAACTTGCAGGAGAAGGGCACGATGAAGATTGACAGCTGGGAGTAGACAGGAGAGTAGAGATATGAGTTATGTACAGAGGTGTTTCTTATACGGTATCTATTTCTGCTGGCTTGGAGTAGAGTGTACAGTTTTCAAAATATTTACAGTTATTCGATAGCTGATTTAGCTGAATAATAAGTGAGATCAAAGCAAGTGGCCTAAACCTTGAGAATTCGATATCCTTTTTACCTGTATAATGAGTACATTTGAATACTGTCAACATCACTGAGAGCATAGCCAGTCATATACTATATCTTAGATAGCCAACGCCCTATATCATATTGATCTTGTAGGACACGGGTTAGTCTTTACTTAGGTCATTCAGATATGTCTTAAAATGCAGAGCAATTAAAAACTATCAACAGTAGCCTTAACCCTCACCTGACTATTATCATCAAAGATATTCCAGGCAGCATCGACATATATCACCATCCATATAATCCCACTCAAGGCTGTAACTATGCTTGTCACTAATTACCATGCTACAAATGGCTATCAACTGACCAGTAAGAAATGCTACAGCTTCAATGTAGAACCATCTATCAGCCACTAAATTTTCAACTGCAAACATGAAATATACCTACTACTTCCATGCTCCCCTCCAACTCCCTTCCTCGTACTGAGGGGACGCTGCCTTAGGACCGAGAATAACTTGACGGTCTGGATGTCCAATCTGACTCAAGGCTATTACTAGTATAGAGTAAGTAGTGAGTCCTCTACACTGCACTAGTTATCAAGTAGTATCTGTGTTGAGAGACGGCTATATGTCGATAATAAGCTTTACCCTAAGTAACTACTAGCACATCACCACGACAGCATACCCATGTATCATCCACGTGGCCCTGTCAGACCATACACCCTCCCCCATCAAGCTGAATAGCTAGCACACCATCATACACATTAATAATGCAGCAATAATCTCCGACAGTCTTATCTCCGCCCGACCCTAAGCTTAACCCCATATCGGACTTAGCGGACATAACCAGAACCATGGATGATTTTATACCACACATATACTATACTATTCTATCATCACTACTTACTATATATAAGATCAAACCCCTGCTATCCTGCACTCCTACCAACCAACTAACCAAGTGAAAAAGAACTCTAGTATCATACAACCCTACAATCATCACCATGTCCAACTCAAATACGATGAACTTCATCTCCATCAACAAACTCACCAACACCCGCGTCCTCCTCATCGGCGGCACCTCGGGCATCGGCTTCGCCGTCGCCCGCGCCGCCCTCGAACACGGCGCCAGCATCATCCTATCCAGCTCCAAGGAAGAAAAAGTCCAGTCGGCCATATCCCGTCTCCAACACCTCTACCCGGACCCGTCCTTCACCTCTCGCATCACCGGGAAGGCATATGATCTGAGTGATCAATCGACCCTAGAAACTACCATCATCTCCTTACTCGACTACGCTACATCCCCATCCATATTCCCCACCACAACCACAACCAACACCTCCAAAGAGGAAAATGGGAGAGTATTAATAAATCATATAATCTACACCTCCGGCACCCGCCCCTCCCGCATCCCCATCTCCCCCACCACCACCAACCTAACCCCACAACTCTACACGCAAAGCGAGACGCTCCGCGTCCTGGCGCCCCTCATGCTAGGCAAGTATGCGAAGTCGTACATGGTGGATGAACATACCTCGTCGATGACGTTTACGTCTGGGGTGTTGGCGTCCAAGCCTGTACCGGGGACGACGTTGGGTGCGATGGCGGGGAGTGCCCTGGGGGGACTGGTGAGGGGGTTGGCGGTGGAGTTGGCGCCCATACGGGCGAATGTGGTGGCGCCGGGGGCGGTAGAGACGGAGATATTTGATACGATTGGGGTGGAGGAGAGGGAGGTGGTTAAGGAGATGTTTAGGAGGGGGACGGTGTTGGGGAGGGTGGGCAGGCCGGAGGATGTCGCGGAGGCGTATGTTTGGTGTATGAAGGATGGGTTTGTGAGTGGGGTGTGGGTGGGGAGTGATGGGGGGGCGTTGCTTAAGTCTGCGATGTAGGTGAGGATGTAGTTGTAGTATAGTATAGTTATGATGGTTTGGGGGGTAGGTAGGGGTGGCTGTACTGGAGTTGTGCTTTGATATGTAGGGGTGGGATATTACGGTAGTGGTTAATTGATATGTGCTGCTTTTTGACTTTGTTTTATGTTTATAGTAGTATAGTAATAGGCAGTATTAGTATGTATCTAGTCTATTGTAAGAGTTCAATGAACTACTTCATCATGCGTATTGGTAGTGCACATGCGTAGTATACTGAATATATCGTAAAACACTTTAATTCAAATAAATATAATCAATCTAACGCTAACAAACCCAAACACCAAACACAAACCAACCCATCATAACCATAACCCATACCCTATACCCCATCATATCCATCAATACCCTCTACTCAGTAGGTACCCTACTCAGTAGGAGGCTTATAAGATCCCCCAATAAACCTACCCCCAACACAACAATCCATTAGCAGCCACACTCACAGATCAACAACCAAATAACCTAAAAGGTACGATGCATACCGACTCAACAACCCCCCCAAAAACCCCTGACTTTCCGCATTACTGCGCTTCGCCCAGCCTGATTCCACATTGTAGTTTTTGGTATCTTGGAGGCCGGCGAAGAGGCCGCGGCCTGCTGTGGGGTGCTATACAATTATTATCAGTATGGGTATGTGTATGTGTATGTGTAAGAGGGATATAGGGATATAAAGATATAGTGATATATGGGGATGGGGATAGATAGTATACGCACATGCTTAGGACGATTCTTCACCCATAGATCAGCTCCAAAGTCGTTTTGGAGGCGGGCGGAGGATGTAGTAGGTGTTGATTTCATGGTGGATATATTATGTGATAAATGTAGTGATTGTTTTATGGTTTCGATGACCCTTTATTAAGACTTGTATGTTGTTTGAGGTGAATCCAAGTGAAAGCTTCATCTGGTTGCATCTACTATATATACTTCCATACCCATCACCACATCCCAAGCCCTACAGCAGTGGCAGTAATAGTATACGGCATCAATCGGAACCCAATTACCGCCCTAACAAAGAAACAAAAAACTACATCGCACCATACTCCTCAATACTAAGTCAGGCATCTCTCCATCCGAATCACCTCACCTCTTTCACCTCCTCGTCGGGGTGGTTGTATCCGGGGTAGAGGGCATCACGTGTGCAGTGCATGGGACTCGGATGATCCGAGCGATGGTATACCATAGATATGGATGACCAATTAGATATGCTCAATTTGTAGGATTCTTTCCTCGAAGGATGCAAATTTGGTTGTGGTTGGGTTGTGTAGTGGTTGGGGTGGGTGGCATGATCCCGGTGTGTACTTAGTAGTGGTAGTGGTAGTAACATGATCTGATGTGCTCCGATGGGTGGTGAGATGTGGCGCAGCAGTGCAGTGTAGTGGGTGGTACGATATGGTTGATTTTGTGGACTACGTCAGTTAAGAAATAGGATTGGTTGTTGGCGGGTAAGTTATTAAGTACTACTGTATGTAGGGATATATATATAAAGGCTTGGGGTTCCCTTATTCAAAGGTATTGTGTTGGTTGGGTTTTATTCTGAGGAGGAAGCTCTGTGGTGATGGATGGGACTGTGTAACTTGCGACCGGTCGGTCGGCTTCAGCCATGTGGTTTCTCAACCATGAGTTGAGTACAGGGTACGGAGGACTCATGTAGGGGATGCTATTGACATTATTGAAGAATTATATATGTCCTGTCAGTCATGTCAACTTGACTCTCAAGAATGTGGGATTCTAGGTGTGTGGGTGGGCGTCAAACTGACACATTCCTCGGATCGGTCAGCCCAACTCAACACCCACCACACCTCCATCCTCTACTTAGGGTATCTCGTAGCTACACAACCACTCACTCAACACATCATCCTCTACTCATAAGCGAGCATCGGCAATATCCGAATCTTCCAGAACCCGTCAGTCAGCAGTACAATAATACGAGTCATCGCCCCAGCTATATACCCTCGTAGTAATAGTATCAGGGTCCTCACCCCCAAATTCAGGGGTCAACAGCTACTACACCATCATGTCTCACACCCCAACGCGACTATTGAAAATTAGCCCAAATTCATCCAAGACAACACACATTCTCTAAATTTCAGCTCAGCCTTCCGAAACCAGCGCGCTCAACGACTTCGCTCTCTCTCTCTTTCTCTCTCAGATAGGCTCAAGCCAAGCCTGGTCAGGGGCAAATCGGTCCGCAGTGGAGGAGACTCTGCACTGACCGGTCGAGACCGGGCGGACGATGATCAATTTCTATTTTGTAGGGTTAATGGGTATTTATGAGTAGTTCGGTGTGTTTTTTATTCTATTTTCATGAGTTGTTTCAATAGTCAATAGTTTTGGCTGTTCGTATCGTACTTATGTAGTACGTATGTAGTTGAGGGATCCTGGATCTGATCTGATCTGATCTGGGGTAAGTCGAAGTGATGGACAGAGTGGTCAGGGGTTTGAGGCGTGAGCACGAGGGGTTGGGTTGACTTTGGCCGCCACTGACAGACCCTGACTCGTGTGGGAAATTTAAGACAGAGAATTGCTGTGAGTGTCGAGGTGAAGCCAAGAAGGCCAGGCCTCGTTTCGGTTCTCGGCATTTGCTGGAGTGCCAGTGAGAGACATCTCCACAGAGAAACACTTACTAGGAACACTCGAATGAAATGAATTGATCTGATCGGCGTGGGTTGCTAGGACGGTGAAAAGTGAAAGTCAAGTAACTCCAGATGGATCAGCGAGTATAAGATAGATAGTTAGCTAAGTGAATCCATGGATTTATTGACAATTATTGACTAGGAGATGATGCGGAGGGAGTGAACCTTGCGCCGGGTGATAAACTCAGTACAGTAATGTTGGATATTTTGATCATATTATTACTATGGATAGATCTCAGTAAGCCGACAGTAATTTCCAGGGGCAATAGCAATGGCAATGGCAATGGAATGGTAACCGGATAGTAACCGGATAGTAGCCGAACGGTGGCTGTCAGACAGACAGAAAAGTTACCCGGGGCTGTTTCTATTCTTATGAATTCGCCTCTTTCTGCTTCAGCCTTCAGCCTTCTGACTGCTGGCTGCACTGCTTTTGCCTCTCTGCTTGTTTCATCCAGCCTTTCAGACCCCGTACCTGAAATAACGCTCTCCTATTAACCGTGCAGAGGCTGAGTCCAACCATGGATCGGTCTCTGGGCCATCCATTATTACGCCCGACTTTTTGCTCATTTCTGGCTGTGTTGCCCTTTGGTCGCTAATCCGGGTTGCGGTGGGTCCCCGGAAATTAAGGTGCTCGCCATCACCCAATGATCTCCCACAAAGTCAGACAGTGGAGGCAGCCACTGTACCCGATCGGGCAAAGCCACAACACCTCCTGCAGGCGGGGTGGATCCCTGACTTTTCCAGTGTTCCTTGCAGCTGCACAAAGCAGCCTCTGTTGCTGAATCTCATTTCACTTGGATGTTGTGTGGTTGCCACTTTGCTAGATGGTGGTGACTACTTTGAATATTGTTGTACACTATCTGAATTCCTTATGCTATACATACAGGAATACGGAATAACTACACGTCTCAACGATGGATTGTTCCCTGTCATCAGGAGACAGATGTGATAGAGGGGTGCCTACGTAGGAGTCCCCCGTATGGCAATAGAGTTTTCCTTCCACCATCGGAAAATCTTAATCCAAATCATCCATGTCCGGGGTCAGTTTCTGTGTCGAACAACTCAGTAGATAGTAGACACGTCGTTTGACTCCTCTTCCACTCATCGATGGCCCATCGACCCAAAAAATAGTAGCTAGACCCTGAATGTCAGGATTGCAGCTAACGGTCACCGTCACCGCATCGAGGGAATGGGACAAAAGATATTCTGAAACCCCCAAGAAGGGAATGGACGACGTGCAAACTAATACTACTGACTCGACTCCACCAGGCTATCCGAGCCGTGCGGACATCCAGTCCAATAGCGGCCAGTGGGTGCCTGGCATCCATCCATCCACCATCCACCATCCATCCACTCCCGCCCCCTTTTGTTTGCTTGGGGGCTTTTTCCCTGCTGGGCCAGACTTGCCTCTTTTCCCTTTCCTTCTTCTTCTTCTTCTTCTTTTTTCCTCTCTCCCTCCCCTCTTTTTTTTGTTTTCCCTCTCGGGTTTGTTTTGCAGATCGTTTGTCTCTTTCTCCCTCCCAGAGAAAGATATCAAAAAGAGGCCGGCGTGCCCTTTTCTCCCTCCCTCCCTCCCTCTCCCGCGTTCTCTTCTCACTCTGCAAACTTGACCACCGCTTCACTCTTTTAGCGGGCATTCATTGCGATTGAATTTGTTCCCGATCCCCCCTCATTGATTTCACCCTTACCGTCAATATGAAGGGTGCTTTCCTTGCCACTGCGGCTGCCCTCGCCGGTACCGCTCTGGCTGATGGCGGCGCTCACATGCGTCGTCACGGTCACGACTCTTTCCACCAGCGTCGTGCCGTTCAGGCTGAGCCCGAGGAGTCTTGCGGCTGCACCACCGAGGTCATCACCGTCTGGGGAACCCCTACCCGTGAGTCAATCCTTATCCCCCGCATTCCAACATTCCAGTTGATGCGACTTGCGATGTGGACAATATACTGACCATCACAGTCGTGCCCGCTGCGGTCCCTACCACTGTGACTTCCGACGTCGTCACCACCCTCCACTCCACCAGCTACACCACCGTCACCGTTGTCGCTACCCCCGGCGAGTCGACTGCCCCTGCTGAGGCTGCTACCACTGCCGAGGGTGCTGGTGCTACTGGCGGTGCTGCTGGCAACGCCTCTCCCAGCGAGTCTACCCCCGCTGCTGGTGGTGCCACCGGTGGTGCTGCCGGTGCTGCTTCTGGCACTTCCTCCACCCCCGAGGGTGTCGCTGCCACCGGTGCTGCTGGCGGCAATGTCGGCCAGGTCTCTTCCTCCACCCCTGTCGCTGCTGCTACCACCTCCAGCCAGGCTGTTGTCCCCACCCCGGAGACCACCACCTTCTCCACCACTGGTGTCTACACTATCCCCGCGGCTACCGTGACCGTCTCCGACACCACCTCCGTCGTCGCCGGCACCACTACCTCCCTGGCTAGCGGTACCCAGACCTACGGTGGTGTCACCACCATCGTCGAGACCTCGACCACCGTCACCTGCCCCTACGCCACCGTCTCCCCCTCTGGCTCCACCGTCACCAGCATCATCCAGACCACCACCTACGTCTGCCCCGAGGCTGGTACCTACACCATTGCTCCCACCACCACCTACGTTCCCTCCAACACCGTCGTGACCTACCCCACCGTCTCCACGGTCACCCCCGGCACCTACACCCACAGCGCTATCACTGTGACCGCCACCGTTACTGACTACACCTACACTTGCCCCTTCGCCAACGCCAACGAGCCCACCAGCACCCCTGCTGCCGCTACCACTAGCGCTGTTGTGGTGACCACCCCGGCTCCTGCCACCACCACCGCTGCCGCTGTCACTTCCTCCGTCCAGTCCAGCACTGTCGCCAGCTCCAGCGCCGCCGCCAGCTCTGGCGTCAGCGCCAGCGGCAACAGCATGGGAATGACCTACACTCCCTACAGCAACTCTGGTGGTTGCAAGTCCAAGGCCACCGTCGAGTCGGACATTGAGACCATCGCCAACAAGGGTTTCACCCACATCCGTCTCTACTCCACCGACTGCAGCACCCTCGAATACGTTGGTTCCGCTGCCAGCAAGTACGGCCTCAAGCTGATCCTCGGTGTCTACATCTCCAGCACCGGCACCTCGGGTGCTCAGGACCAGGTCACTGCCATCACCGAGTGGGGTCAGTGGTCCATGGTTACCCTCATCGTTGTCGGTAACGAGGCCATCTCCGACGGTTACACCACCGCCAGCGAGCTCGCCACCTTCATCTCCTCCTGCAAGTCCAGCTTCGAGGCTGCCGGCTACACTGGCCAGATCACCACCACTGAGCCTGTCGACATCTGGCAGGAGTACGGCAGCAGCACCCTGTGCTCTGTCGTTGACGTCCTTGGTGCCAACATCCACCCCTTCTTCAACGCCGAGACCACCGCCGCCGAGGCCGGTACCTTCGCCTCCACCGAGGTCGCCCTCCTGAAGAAGATCTGTACCGACATGGATGTCATCAACCTCGAGACTGGCTGGCCGAGCCAGGGTAACGCCAACGGTGCTGCCGTCCCCGGTACCACCGAGCAGGCCACCGCCATCAAGGGCATCCGCGAGTCCGTTGGAGAGCTGTCCGTCTTCTTCTCCTACGCCAACGACCTGTGGAAGGACCCCGGCGAGTACGACGTTGAGCAGTACTGGGGTTGCATTGACCAGTTCTAAGCGAGTCCCGCTTGATTTGTCTATAGTTTCCTGAACAATTTTTTCTTTTGCTTCCGATCTGCTTGGAGTTGTTTATAATCCTGTATCTGTCGTCCCGGGTACATTCAACACGACAGGACTTGGCTTATCTTTCCCTTCTCCGTACAGTTGAAAGTTTCATATAGTAGATATAACCTTTGGTGTCTGTTTCATTTCTTCATATACTCTTATCTATGTGTCTAGTGACCGGGTTTGCGTCTGCTTTTCTTTGTTGTATAGGCTAATTTAACGGCTTACGAAGATACTTGTATAATTGTAGACAGTATATTCATGGGACGCAACGGACTCACAATGACCAGGTCTTGAGTATAATCAATCTTTAAATTAGCCACTCTCAATACTCACCCTTCGAAACCTAGTACTCCTCCCTCGTAAATAAAGTAACCCCAAATCCCACAAACTTACAGAATGAAGTATTGACTCTCGTCCTCTACCATGAACCGAGGGGCGTATATACTTTTTATTCTATCTTCTTAGTTTAAGATTGTTTATAATTGTCTTCCACAACATCCTCCTCCTCCTCCTCCTCCTCCTCCTCCTCTTCTTCTTTCTCACCAAATCCTTCATGGGGTATAGGTTATAGCACAAATATGATACTCCTTGAGGATTTCATACTCACCAGCTACCTACCTACTACCTAGATATTCCCAGTGCACATTCTGAACAGCCTACCACACAACACTCAAGCCTTTGAGAAAAATCGTATCAGTATTCCAGAACCTCATAGTAGACTATAGACCTATCAAACCCGAAGGGGCATAAAACAAAATGAAATGAAATGAAGTGAGTGAGACACAGATCTCACAGCCAAAGTACTTGATAGATTCCAACAGAGATACCACAACAATTTACAAACCCAACATGACCATGATACAAAACCACCCCCCCAAAAAAGAAAGAAAATAAATCTACACACCCATAACCCCAACCATCCGATTCACCGACGGATTCGCATACACCACCTTCTGATCCACCAGAGCAGCATTCGGATCCCACTGTTTCCGAAACTTATTCACCTCCCCAATCAGCTCGATGACCTTCAGCGAATCGAGACCAAACTGGAATAGATCCGAGTCGTCGGTCCAGGCTTGTTGCTGATCTAATGTTTCTGCGAGGTGGGTGTGGATGAAGGTTTTTAGGTCGGGTTTGGGGATATCGGAGTCTGTCTTGGGAGAGGAAGAAGAGACTAAGGGGGTGGAGGGGGAGGGAGATGTAGGAGGGGATAGAGCAGGCGCAGTAGAACCAGTAGTGAGACCTGTCAGAAGACGAGTGAGAACGCCCTGCATGGCTTTTTCGACGGCTGTTTCGACGGCTTTGGGCAGGAGTTGGTGGAGGATTTCTTCGATTTCGGTGGTTAGGGCTGGTGCTGATGCGGACTGATTTGGGGTGGTGGGGGAGTCGGGACGGAGGGGAGGGGTAGATGGTGAGAGCGAGGGAGATGATGAAGAAGTAGTAGAAGAAGAAGAGGTAGGGACAGGGGCAGCGACATGCGGACGCATCCTATCATACAGAGCCTGCCATTCCGCAGCGTAGAGCTTAAACACCGCATGACGCTGAACGGTATCCTTACCGGCGCGCGGAAGCGGCTTATCCGGGGAGGTGAGCATGACGAAGCCTTTCATGATGCGGCCGTGAGCGGGACATCCGCGATTCGCTTTGGTGATATACGGCCATATCTCTTGGATGTATTGTTCCTCTTCCTCGGGTGAGGTCGGATAGTCATATGGCTCAATCAACACCGAGGCCTGGAATTGGCCTTGACCGCCGATGACGGCGGATTTGACCTTGGGGCTCGCTACAATCACGCTTTCCATTGTGATGGGGTTGAGCTTTTCGGCGGTGGTGAAAGCGATGATATCGTCTGTTCGCGCGCGGAATACCCAGGACTCTGGGCGATGGGGGTGTTGCGCGAATAGATCGCCGAAGCGGTACTCTTGCTTGTCTGGGAAGGTGTAGAAAGCGCCCTGGAAGAGCTCGTGGTTGGGTTGGCGGCGGAGGACGAGTTCCGATAGACCATCGCGGTTGGATTGGAATTCGTGTCCGAAGAAGGGGCTCACGGTTACGTATTCCCAGTCTGCTGGGTCGTCGTTCATCTCGAGGGGGAAGAGTAGGGTCTCGCATGTGCCCATGATGGACATGCATTTGACTTGGGTGGAGAGGGCGTCTCCGACGGCTTTGGGGAGGGAGCCGCCGACATAGGAGAGGAGGTTGAGGTGCTTGATGAGGTTTTGGCGATGGGTGGGGTTGTTGTATAGGTCTACGATCAGTGATGGTGCCAGTAGCGCACCGTCGAGGTTGGCGGAAGTGATGACTTCGTTGGCGACGTCGGATGTAAGTGGACCAGGGGGCGGGAGGACGACAGTCACGCCGGAGAATATGTTGAATGCTAGGACGAATGTCAAGCAAGCGGCGTGGAAGACTGGCAGGGCTAGGAAGAATCTTTTCCCCTTCAGGTAGTTCATCAGGGTGGGCTTTCCTCCGAGAGAGGGAATGAGCTGATGGGCGTCATTGCTAGCCAAGCTACCATAGGGAACGAAGACGGGCTTGGGGATACCGGTCGAGCCGGAGGTGTGTAGGATGCAGAAGGTTTTGTAGCGAGCCTCTTCCCAAGTAAGGGTGAAAGGAAGAGGATTGACCTGGTCCAGGTCTGTGAACCAGAAATCCAGCTCAGGCATATCCACCTCCTTCATGGATCGAGCCTTCAGGATTTGGTCGAGGACGGCTGGCGCCTGCTTTGGCCGCAGAGCAACCGAGCAGCCACTGCGTTCTACCAGAGACAGATGGGCATCCAGGCTATTACGGTGAGAGCTGAAGAAAGCCTGGGATTGGGAATGAGCTGTGAGCCGTACCATGGGGGGATTAGTATGTGCTTACCGTGTGACCGGCCTTAGCGGCGGCTATAATGATAAGAATGTATCTGATGTCCAGAGGACCAATGTAGAGAATGGTTTGAGGATCGGTGGGCATGCCCACCCGGTCCCGTAGCCACCAGGCACACTTATTGACGGCCTGGGCAAAGGTGGCATAAGTGATATCTTGGAAGCCAGCCGACACGTTCTCTGGATTGCGTGGAACGGAGACAAAGACTCGCTCGGGATCACTGATGGCAACTTCATCTAGCACAGCAGGCAGCAGGCGTCGACCACAGTCAACTGGAGCCTGAAGAGCAGGAGGAAGGGCATCCATTGGGACTGAGAATGAAACGGATTGGATAATTGAAGGAAAGAAAGGGATTGTCTTTTGTACTATTACATTGAATGAGAGAAGTATAAGAAGATATGAGGACGTATTTATATCATTTCACTCTGCGAGAATACTATTCCCAGTCCGGCTGACTCGGTGTCAACCCCGTCTGTGCCCAGAGCTACACCGGTTAGATCGGCAGAGGCTGGATTCTGATGAGACGAGATGATTACTCGAGGCAGGATGAAAAAGCTCGTCTTTCGTGATGGGAAGAGGGGGGCAGGCTGAATACGATTAGCTTCTCCGACAAGATACAGTGGTAGGAAGCCAGTAGCAGAACTAGTATTACCCTAATTTGATAGTCCCTCCGTGTGGGGGCCAACTTTGGGTTGAGCCATGCTTTGTCCTGCGCTGACAGCTCTAGCCGAGGGTTGCATGCATGCATGATTGTGGTTAAACTCGCCCGTGGCAGTGATGTCTTACTCAAGGCTGGCAGGTCTGCATCGGGTATTACAGATGATTAACACAGCATGTATTGTTCCACTTGTGGGGCCAATCTGACTGTATGTTACGCTTTATTCTGGTCAGTACTACGTAATGATAGCTATCAGACTGATTACACATATGGTATGCGCGAATTTTCCCCATATCTGACGGGGCGAATCGGCCTAGAGCGACTCCAGATTACAATTGAATTAGATAGTGCTTATGCTAGAATTTTTATAATCCACTTTCAGTCAGAAATGAGCCATTAAACAACCGAGGTAGCGTTTGCCTGAGGTGGGAGGATATGTTCGAGGCTCGTACTGCGGTCATCCTTGGCAAGTGCTGCCTGCTTAGCAGAGGCATAATGCTTCGAGGAGGCCCCGAGACCGGGGCTCTGTATTGTTGCTTGTGAGCCCAGTTCATAGCTGTTCTGGGTGCGACGGGACGACATCAGGTTAGAGAAGGTCTGACTGGTAAGCCGGACGACAGGCTCTGCCAGTGGGCGCAACGGAGGGACACTGGCAATCATCATGGCGATGTTGCGCTCCATTCCAGCCCAGGTCAGACCCATGACGGTAGTGTATGTTGAGTCCGAAGCTGATGACCCTGTTAAACTTTCTCCGGACTCGACCGTACGAATTGTCGCAAAGATACCTGTGCTGTAGAACCAAAATGATGTTAGCGACGAGGTTTCTAAGCATTGAGGAATCAATCACGGAAGACATACACAGCACCCAAGCTCATGAGTCCACAAAGAACGATTTTGTTCTTTCGACTGATCTGTAGGTCCTTGAAGAGGAAGATGGGAACGGCCGAGAGGAAGTAGTCCGTCAGCGCCGAAAATGCTGCCTAATGTTAATTATTGATTCAAAGCAGGCTGAAGAGCTCACTCACATCCTTGCAAGATCACCAAGCCCGTCTCGGTGGCTGCCGGCCAGCAGGTGCCTGGCAGGTATGGGTCCCAAGACTTATGTGTGGGGTTGCAGCGGGCATAGAAGGATATAATAACCACTGTGTTTACAGCAAATACCAACACTGCCGTGACTGTACAAAGGACGCGCAGAGTGCGTTGGTGTGAGCCTCTCAAGATACGGAGATAAGAGAGACAGATGGAGATTTTCGCAAAAGTCAAGGCGTTTACACAGAACACCTGCCCGAGATAGTCCCAGAACAGCAGGGGGGGTATCTGCTTCTTGGTCAAATAGACCATGTGACGTCCAAGTCCATTATTAACAGCAAGAAAATCACATATCGTGGCTACTAATGCTTGAGCCTATTTTTATATTAATAATGAATTGTGAACAGGTGTTTTAGAGAAGCTTGGGTCACTCACCACCGCAAACAGCATCATGTAATCGTCCCAACCCAAACTTGCATAGAGAATCCGTGCCACTGCACGGAGCATCACCACCACACAAGCACTTACAAAGGTAACGGTAGTACCCACCAGCAGCTTGTAACCAACGTTCACATCAGGTGGATTCATGATGAAAAATATTGAGGTAAAATTCTAGGACTAAGCTGCGTGAAGGAAACGAGATACGAGGCTCAAAGCAGGGTGGATTAGGCAAGCCTTTTGATCCTTGACATCCAGGTCCAAGCTGCATACCACTACGTAGGAGCTGAACAACTCCTATGGAGGAGTCCAACCGGACCATCTCATGGCCTTCAGCCCCCACGCGCTACTGATAGTTGCACAGAATATAGCAAGCAGGATGACCGAGTGGAGACGCTGGACCCTGTCGTGCGCACAGACAGACGAGGCTGAGGCTTCGTGCAACATAAGCATCGGGCGTCACCGTATGGGCTGGTACTAGCGTGGTAAGTCAGGGTACGCTTACAGTTTCTTACGGTTTTACGTTTCTGCCTTCTTGCTTCTGCGTTCACTCTCTCTTGAGGGGTGTTCCCAAGTTATATATCCCACTGCAAGCCCACGCAGAGTGACCACCACTGTTCTACTATCCTTCTCTCTTTCATCTCCACTACCGAGTACCTCTAGCCATCTTGATTCTCTCCAAAATGTCTCCCTACCAATTCTTGTCACTGTCTACCAAACCTTCCGCCAAACTATGCTATAGCTTCCATCCAGCTGTGGGCACTGCCAAGCCTGTGCTGATTGTCTTTGTCAATGGCCTTGGCCTGCCACAGACCTCCTGGGAGGGGGCCATTACACGCCTTCAGACACAGCCTCCCGCTGCTGGACTGCCCGCCATGCTGACCTATGACCGCTACGGTCAGGGGCAGACCACAGACCGGGATCCCGACGACAACACCGAGGATCCCATGCACGGCCATGATACATTGACTGTGGTCCGGGACCTTCATCAACTAATTACTCAAATCGCGTCCGAGAAAATGGGAATCTCCAATCTGAACCCGGGCAGTCTGTCCCTCGTGCTGGTCTCCAACTCCATTGGTGGCGCGCTGGTGCGGCTCTATGCTCAAGAATATCCCGGCACAGTGGCAGGCCTTCTCTTCCTGGACAGTGTGCTGGCAAACTCCGACTTTGTCTCTATCTACCCGGACCCTGATGCACCTGGCTTCGACCCAACCAGTCTGCCAGATGGGGTGACGGTGGATGCGATCCGTGCTGCTCGCGCGTACATGCAGCGGGTATTTCATCCCAGTAATGGCAGTCGCGAGGGGCTCAGCCGGAAGAACCTGGCGCAACTTTTGCCGGATAGCGATGGACCCAAGTTGCAGGGGCCGGACGGCGGTCCCTGGGTAACGGTTGTTGGCCATGAGTTTGAGGCGTTCAAGACCGAATTTGAACAGATGGGTGGCGCCCCGCCAAGACTGACGGAAGTCTATATGAATCCTTACTGGCATCGGTTCAACGAAGGATTGGCTAAGCTTACTGAGCCTGCTCGCAGTAAGGGTCCTCTGCAGGCACCAGGGGCCGGCCATTTTGTCCAGCGAGATAACCCGGAGCTCGTGGCAAACGAACTACGCGAGATTCTCGACAAGATTCTGTGAATTTTCTTTGTATGTGCGCATGCATGACTGTGTGTATCTGTGTGTAGCTAGTCTAACCAATACACCCTCCCCTTTGGCACACGCTTGTAAACCCGTTAGTTCACTCCCCCATCATGTTCAGACGAGCCTTGAATCCGGCAAGGCCGGAAATTTGCAAGCGAGGGGCAGTAAGCGGGGACCTCAAACGGACTCCTCTAGGACTACTCAGGCTAGTCTGGTAGGCTTCGGTCTGACAGCCAAGTGGGTCTCCTACCTAGCTGGTGCCAAACGGACACCGTGAGATCGATCGCGTAGATATATCGCTACTCTGTAATACCAGTCAGTATTAAAACGAAACCACAAACGCACTAATTCTGCGTTTTCTACAACTTCGTCCTGGGACATGTTTGGCCCCCATACCAAACACTTCCATCCTCTTCCCTCGCACTCCAAAAACAGTAGTCTTACAAGAAGGATGTAATAGAGCAGTCAAGGAAGGACATATCAGCCTCGTAGTGGAGTATATAGCTGAGCAATTCATCTCTCGTAACTAATTGATATCTATACCCTCCTCATGAGAAACGTTACATACATGATAAGGAACGACAGCATGGACTCAGGGCATGTACCCACTCCAGTACCACCACCTCCTCCTCCTCCGGCGATTCAGCTACCCGATCAATCAGAAAAGGGGCCAACGAACATCAACCTTCCCATCAACGTCTCTGTGCTCCCGGTGGAAAAAGCAGGGACACCTTCGCGTCAGAGCATTGACACCCGTCTCTTCCTCTGGCCCAGTACCTACCGATACATCTTTTCCCTTGTCTTCCTCGGAAATGTAGCTGCTTTGATCTACTTCATTCTCAGAGATTGGTCTGCGATTCGGTTCGTGGATGCTGCTGCAGCGAACTTCTTAGCAAGCGCCTTGGCTCGTCAGGCAATCGTGGTAAATGGGATGTTTCAGATAATGTGCTCCTTATCACTCCGGCTACCCCTATGTCTTCGTCGTGTGGCAGCCAACATTTACCATTACGGCGGCGTGCATAGCGGTTGCGGCGTGGCTGCGCTGATCTGGTATGTCGGAGCAGTTGTCATGCTGACCCAGCTGGCTATCAGGGTCCGGGGCCACCCCCATCATCTCTCCAATCATACTCTGATTACGTTGATCCTTGCCTATCTCGTCCTCTTCCTGCTAGCTGTGATCATAGCAGTGGCCTATCCCACGGTCCGACTCCGCTATCATAATTCCTTCGAGTTCGCCCATCGCTTCCTCACCTGGCTAGTCGTCGCGCTGTTCCTGAGTCTTCTGGTGCTCGTGGTGGGAGACTCCTCTCTCGCTCCTAGTACTGCTACTATTTCTGTGTCCCCTGCGGCCAGCCTCGTCCGTCTCCCCGCCTTCTGGTGCGTCCTGACCACCGTCATCGCCATCATTCAGCCCTGGACACGCCTGCGACGTATCCGCGTACAGGCAGAGCGGCTCTCCACCCATGCCATCCGTCTCCACCTATCTGGAGCTGACTCACGGTTGGGGAAAACCATCTCACTCGCTACTCACCCACTGCAGGACTGGCATAGCTTCGCCACGTTCCCGGACGAGCCCCGCTGCATAGATATTGACGACGAGGAGGCGGCAACCGCAAAGACAAGCGCAGCCAAGGGCTGTTCGGTCCTGGTATCCAGGGCAGGAGACTGGACGGGGGCACGAATCAACGAGCCCCCGACAGAATTATGGACCCGGGGTGAACAGCCGTATGGGTTCACCCGAGTGATGCGACTCTTCAGACGCGTGGTGATCGTGGCAACAGGCTCTGGGATCGGCCCCTGTCTCGCATTTCTAGCGGAAGGAGGAGAAGCGTGTCGTCGCCCTGCCATTCGTCTGGTGTGGCAGACTAGGTCGCCGCAGCAAACGTACGGATCGCGGGTGTTGGACTTAGTGCATCGGTTGGACCCGGAGGCCATGATACTAGACACTTCCAAGCAAGGTCGGCGTGTGGACCTGCTCCCGTGGGTCGTTGACCATTGCTTAGCCTATCGCGGCTTCGAGGCTGAAATGGTCTGTGTCATTAGCAATCGGAGCTTAACCCATACCCTTGTTTCTCAGCTTCGGGGCCGAGGGATCCCTGCAATGGGGCCGCTGTTTGATTCATGAGGGCTGAAAAGATAATGTAGATACTAGTTAGATAGATTTTTTAAAACGAATCAAAATCAACATGATTGTACGATGCGTCCTGACTCCTGTGCAGTATTCCCCACTTAACCGTTCCCGTCACTTAGCCCTCCTCCCTGTGCTTACTCTCCTAGTGCTTACTTTCTAGTTCCCTTCACCACCACCCCCTCCTCTACCAGTACAGCCTCCTCATACTACTAGCCCACCAAACTAACCAGTAATGTAAGAAATCTACCTCAACTCCCCAAACACCCCTTCAATCCTTCTAATCCCCTCAGCCAACGTCTCTGGCGCCACCCCAAACGTGACTCTCATCCACCCATGTTGATAATTCCCCGGCATATGGTACGCTGACCCCGGCACGACCGCAACCCCAGCCTGACGATATTTCCCACATGCAGCTAGCTCATCCTCCCGCGTCTGAGCTCGCGGAGCCAATCGAGCCATCAGGAACACTGCCGCGGTCCCTGGAACGTATGTAATACCAATACGGCGAAACGCTTCTGTCACGGTACAATATGCCACCGTGAGACCCATGCAGTTCTGCTTTAGTATGTCCGGGAGACGGGAAGATGTCAGAATGGCTATTGCTCCGATTGTGGAGAGGGCTGACACTTGGATAGCCCCGGCTAGGCCAACGGTGCGTCGGAGGGGATTGTTTCGGGTTGCTATGCATCCCTGATAGATCGAATTCGTTAACAAAAGCACAAACCTGGCGCTATGTCAAATTTGAGGAGAGATCTTACCAGACGAATCCCACTAGCCGCTAGATCCTTGCTCATACTCCAGAGAACATGCACGCGTGCAGGGTCAAGACCGACAGTTGAGGGGTCGATACTTAGGACGGATTTGAATGCAGCCCAGTTCTGGAGATCGGGGCTGGTGAATGTGCTGAGGGCGAATACCTCGTCGGAGATGAGGTGGAGGTTATGGTCTCGACAGAATGTCATGCATTGCTTTAGGACGTGGGGAGGGTATGGTCGGCCAAGGGGATTGTGTGGATGGGAGAGAACGATGGCTTTGATAGGACATTTAGCTTCCTTGTAGTGCTTTTCGAGAGCAGAGATCAGTGCGATGTCGTGGAATGAATCCTCTAGTTCGGGAACCTCGACACCGATGATTTGGACTTGAGATCGAACGGCGAAGAAAGTGTCGTAGCCACCTAGTTTGTTTTGTTGATTAGATTGAAAGGAAAGTGTGAGGGAGAGGGGGAGGGGAGCACATACTCCAGTACGGACATGGTACTAGGACGCCATCCTCCGGATCGCATAAATGGTAGAGTAGGATGTCAAGTCCAGCGGATGTGCCGGGGGTTACTGCTAGATGGTCAGACTCAATCGGCATGTATGGCTCGAAGTAGCAGTTGAATGTCGTCGCAAGCGCATCCAGTAATGGTGGGTAGCCGCAGAGGCCTTTGGGCCAGTCGAGATGCTAGTAGAAACAGACTATCGGTTAGCAATTAGCTGTACATAGAGCTACTATCTAGATAGTATGCGGTATAGACCTCACCTGCGAGCTTAGCCCTTCGCCAATGCAGGTCTTTAAGATAGAGAGGATCTCGCTTCTGATTACATGGTTTTCCGCTAAGGTCAAGTCGATTCCGTGCCATGTGAAGTTGGGGTTAAGAAGGTAGGGCGGAAACCGTGAAAGAACATCCGTCAAGTTTTTATTCCCTCTGTTGGAAAGTGATGATTCCATTGTGTAGTCAAATCACTAGAGAAGACCTTTAAGAGTAGATAGGAGTGCAAGAGGTAGGGTTGAAGACTGTAATCACCCGGATTGGAGGTGGGGGGCATGACCCTGGTATATCTTCGAACAACAGTAACTTAATCGTAGTGTCGTATCGACGGAACATGTAGTATCAGATTGACAACTCTGAATCCAGGGCATGCATTAGCCTCTCTTGTCCAAAACCTTGTCATACGGGAACTTGTCAATTTCTTTTTTTTCTTTTTTTTTTTCAGCCCCCAAACTAGCATGTATGACTAGTTGGTGACGAGTTGCTAGCGCGGCTTCCGCCTCTCAGTATCGCTAAGTCTCGACCATAGCAACAACGTAAGTATCACTTCGCTTCAAGTTAGTATCATTGACGTCGGCTAAATGTCTCAGGCGTTAATCTATTATTTTGTTCATTCAGACCGTTTATCTCTCTCATGTAAGCGCAATGCCTTCGTTCGCCCCCACTCAGGAAATAACATGTCTCAGGCCCCCCCAACCTCGGACCATAAACTTACATCTGCTTCTCAGTTACCCATATCCTTCAATAGAATCTCCGAGGTTAACAGACTGACCTCCACCTCCATTCCAATCCACTACGAAAAAATACATTGACCATGGAGATGGAACGCCAGAAGGCCCTCCGACTCACGGCATTCCGCTACAAGAAAGAGGGCATCACAGAAGCCCAACTACAGACATACATGACACAAGTCTTTGGTCCGCGCGCCGCACCTATTCAAGTTCGTCATGGTGTTCTCAAAGTGATACAAGTCAGTACCCTCATTGACCCCTTTGCAGCATGGCAATTCACTTTGAATCTATTAGCTGACCTGGGTGAATAACAGTATCATACTCCCAGCAGTAGCAAGAAGCTCATTACGGAGAAGATCCCTTGGGCGCTTGGTAGAGGCTGGACGCTGGATGATCATGATGTGATCATCTCGGTGTACGTCCCTAACGCGGAGACCATGGCGGCTATCGTCAACGACCCTGAATTCCAGGAGCTGTTGAGCGGTGACTCTGAGATTCTGCAACCGACGGCCAAAGTCACCGCTGGGTGGGATGAAGTATTTGTGGATGATGGGCAGGTTGTGACTATGGATAGGAGTAGTAGACTGGAAGAGAGCAGGGAGACTGTTTGAAGAGAAAGGGTGGTGGAGGATTGGCTAGCCAATATTGTACTCTCGCGTGTATTCGGCGGTAGCTTCTTCATATATATAAACGTTTGTTTCGCAAAGAACACCAAAGAGCAGACACTAAGGGAAATTAGGTGAAAAGTCCAAATTGATGTTGACTATGGTTTCTAATAGATGGGAAACAGGCAGCGGGGTTACAGGGTCCAGTTGGTTCCTTCGGCTGCAAGCATCCCCAGATACCATATTCCCATTCCTCCAGCTGTCCAGAGGATCGCCAAAGAGACAGCTATAGCAAATTAACAAAACCACATGTACTCAACTTACATAATCCCGCTATTATCACCAAGACCTCGTCCTCTGCTTGTTCTGACCTGCTCCGACATTTTTGATATAAAGATGACTTCCCACAGCACAACAATACACCTAAGAAGCGCTCCCTTGAAGGACATGGACCCCTCCAAGATTAACATTGTCAGGCAGATTACGTCCTCCGATTCGTCTGCAATATTCGAGGCAGACCTGGGTGGACAAAAGTATGCATTGAAGGTTTTCCATGACAACGGCGACCCTGGATATACCGAAAAAGGTCGTGATCTGAACCGATTTCGCTGCGAGTTAAATGCATACGAGAAGCTTCTCACTTCTGGTGTCTGTGCACGCGGTTTCGTGCCAAGATTCTACGGCTACATCGATCAAATGGATCCTGCAGCATTCCATCCTGCTCTACAATCCTTCGCTCATGACAAGCTAATGCCGAGAGCAATCTTGCTAGAATATCTCCCAGATGCAGAGAGTTTGAACTGCGTGAATTACTCGGACGCGCTCTACCCCCAGGCAATTGAGGGAATGCACGAGATACACAGGGCGGGTGTTCACCATCAAGACATCTACCCCAAAAACCTTCTCCTTGTCCGTGGAAACCCCGATAGGCTGGTCTGGATTGACTTTGATGTTGCAACGACCTTCACCGACTTTGGACCTGAGCAGCTGGCCCGCTGTGAGCACGAAAGTGCGCTTGTGAAGGGATTTGCGGAAGCTCTGGTATGGGTTCCGTTGCTGTCTACATTGAAATCATTTAGTATGCTAACTAAATGAATACAGAGAGAGGACCAGGCTGAGGGACTCCCGCCGAATACGAAATTCTATTAAGGGTTCCATAGGCATTCATATATTTTGACAATGCTTGGTGGCATTGACGCGTGCTTTTTATTTTGAACATCTACTTAATAGTAATAATACTACCGTGGATAAAGTATAAAAGATATTTAGGTAAGGGAGTTTACATATCATCAACTATACAGCTATTGATCCAAAACGCTAATTGATAAGGGCGGCCACTCGATGTTCGGGTTCAAGTTGCTGGCAACCCCCAAGTTCGTAGGTTTTGGCCAGTCTGTCAACATCCCTTGCATCCAATGGCCTAGAGCCAAGTACCTCCTCATCCTCATTCATTAGATGACGCAATTCTACCAGTGCGCACCCACGATAGCTACGTAGGCTCCGTTGAGTAGTTTAATCTGCTCACTGACCTACTAGTCCGCCAACATCCATTGTGGTTTTGATATTCATTCTGGAAATGGCACTGGAACACGAGGGCATAGATCGCAGCTCAGGTGAACGCTACTTGTTTTACAGTGCTTTCTTATACGTAATGCTATCTATACATGGCCCAAAGGTCTCCTCACTAAATGATACATTATGGTCGGGTCCTCATAGCGGAGATCCTGGTCGCTCTGAAGGCAATTCCAGACGATAATTCAATAATGTAGTATCAAGAGAACTAGTAAACCACCTAGAGGTCTTTAATCGAACAACGACCAGATAATCTTTCCTAAATCTGGCTCCCATAGCTTTATCCCTTGTCAGCAGCGTGACTAAGGAGTCTGCCCATGGAGCACTCTGCTGAAAAGGAGAGTCGCGAACACTCTATTGCACTGGCAAATTAATCGCTACTGGCCGAGGCAACCTTGGAGGAGCTCATTAAATGTCAACCCGCAGCGCTCAAGGAATCCGGCTTCTTCACCTTTGTCAAAAAGAGAATCCAGGATACCGCAAGGCTAGTTAGGACCTATGCTCCGCTTGTTATTGAGATAGCCATACCTGTTATCATCCACCAGCTGCAAACATACTCGGAAAAGGCCACGAAGACACAGAGCGAAAGTGGCATGGGGACGACGGAGTCTACACCCCCGCGCTCCATTACGACTGGGCGTCACTATTCCTCTAAAGGGCTAATGCACCCTGATCATCATGACAAACAGCCATAGCGGGTACGGCATAGGGATTCTACAGCGTGGTTTCAGTGACTATCAGGAGGTGGATATCGTTATCGTTATCAATTCATTGCGTACCCTTCTAGTGCATGGGCTAACTAGTGTTTACCCTACTGCTTTCGTAGTGTTGTAGCTCAGTTGGGTAAAATTATATGCATGATGTGATCGAGAGTATAGTCACTGTACTGCTAGCACCAAGAGCTACCCTAGAGGACAACTACCGGATACCTCTTCTTTCAGAGAAAAGAAAAACATAATAATGAAAAAAGAAAAATAAATTAATAAAAAACATACAACAGAAGGGATTCGCTGGTGGTCACCCACCCAACTACTAACCTCCCGGCGTGTGGCTTAAGTACGGCTGAGCGGACGGGAAGCCCTGTTTTCCACACCCTGTGGTCGTATGTACTTGTTTTAAAGTGGGAGGGGATTATATCGTTGCTGGTGATTAGTATCAAGGACAGAAGAGGTGAGAGTTGCATGGTGTATATTCGTAATATGCAGGGCTGCAGCTATAGATTTGGATCGGAATATGGTGTTGAAGCTGGTATGGCTCGGAAAGGTATATCTTCCTTCAAAGCTGCTCTATACACAATTGGATAGTGTTAGTTTGCTTGGTTCAGGTTATTAGAGATTGCCTTTGGGAATGAAGTAAGATCTACTACTACTTCTACAATGTGTGCTATGCTTTTGCTCCAGATTGTACAGCCAATGGTTTTTATATTATAAAGGCACGACTGTGTGACGGCAGAATGAAAGAAGATTAGACAATTATCTGAAATGTACAGAGCGCACCACAGCTCCTTCAAACTTTCTTTCAGTTGAGAGAAAGGAAGGCAAACCCCTTACTCGTCGCAAGAAGCGCCAGAGGGAACGTTCTCGCACTTGCTGCTGGTCTCACCGCCGGTGATGTCAATGCCGGACATGGTCCAGTCAGAGCAGCTGCCGTCACCGCAAAGGATGTAGATCTCAACAGCATCGGAGTCAACCGAGCCAGTGATGTCCTCGAGGGTAACATCGGAGATAGTAACACCGTTGGAGGGGGTACCGGTAGGGTCACCGTTCTCGTAGTCCTGCTCGATGACGATACCGTAGTCGGAGATGCCGGAGAGCTTGATATTGGAGTAGGTGATGTCCTCGACGGTACCAGTAGCGTCGTAGACAGTCTTGATGCGAACACCGTTCTCGGAGTCAGAGACAGTCGAGTCGATGAAGGTGACGTTCTTGACGGTGTTGTCGTCGCGGCCACCGACGGAGCCGATGGACAGACCGTGACCGCCGGAGCAGGTACCGCCGGAGAAGTAGATGTTCTCGCCGGAGTTGATGGCGACGCAGTCGTCCTGGTTCTTGACGGTGGCACCGGTGATGGTGATGTAGGTACTCTCGCTGATGTCGAAACCGTCGGTGTTGTGACCGCCCTCGGAGTCACCGTCGCTGTTGTCGATGGTGACGTCCTCGATCACGAGGTTGTCCGACTCAACGGAGATGGCCTGGACAGGGGTGTTCTTGATGTAAAGACCGGAGATCTTGGAGTCATCGAGGTCGTGGGCGTAGAAGAACTTGGGCTTGG